AACCTGCAAATAATCTGGTGTTTCATCATTCAKTTGTGCCATACACTCATCTTTCCTTGATCCCAGGTTTTCATCCTGAGCAGCAGGAGAATGTGATGTCTCAAAGACATAAAAGCCAAAGTTTGGCCCAGAGACAGGRCTGTCCAGTGCCACATCTGTGCATGAAAAGAGGGACAAAATACACAAAGGGGAGACCTTGGACTCAGTGAGCCTCTGCAGGAAATCCCTGAACAATTAAAGATGTTAGTGTTAATGAGGGAAGATGGAAGCAGGCTCCATTGTTGTCTTAAATGACCTTGAGGAAATCTCTTCTGCTCCCCTGACTATCTGTTAAGTGGGGATGGTCCCTGCTTTCCTCTTAGAGCTGCTAAATCAGTGCTTTGAGGATAACACAGCCAAGTCTGTGAAATGTTGTGCTCCCCCCCCCCCCCTCGTGGTGACAGAGTGAGTCAAAGGATGTAAAGTGGATTCACATTTGAGATTGTGAGACTTTCCCTCTGGAGAGCAGAGCAGCTTCACTCCTGGGCATTTTGGCTGCAGGCTGATGTTACTTACTGGGCTTACAGTGGCTCTGGTGTATCCTTCTTCTACCTTCGTTCTCTGAGGACCAGATCTTTCCAATGTTGTCATATCAATAAAACAGTAGGCTGCAGTTATTGACTTATAAATAGCAAAGTAGACAATACAAGTTTACCTCTGTGAGAAATCTACTTCCTTTATCACAAATCTCTTAGAACAAAACTAAAAGAAGATTGACTTGGGGGTCCCCCTTAAACAGAAGGAAATTTCCCTCTTGCTGTGTGTAACAAAAGGTTTGGAGTAGAAWTTCATAAGAAACAGAGAAGAGCAAACAGCAGCAATGTCAATCCCTCAAAAATGTTATGTGGAACAAACGGAAGACAAATCTGGAATTGTGGAAGAGCCTTCTAAGAGTCAAGAAGAGAAGGTGAGAGGGAGAAACTCAYGTACACACTGTCCTAATGGACAGATCTATTCCAACAGTGCAGAAACTCAGAAGGAAGCARAAGACTCCACAATTCAGAGGAAAAGCCCTGAAAACAAGGAAGCCTGCAAAGGTTGTGATATCCTTTGCTTCTTTGTCTSGAAGATATTAAAGAAGAGTGAGAAAAGGTGAAGGGAGACTTTGTGACTGGGCAGGCTGTCCTGATGGGCCACAGACTTCCTCATGCAGCTGCCCTTCGGTGTGGCTCTGCTTGGCAATTTATATTGGCATTAAGCAGATTAAAKAACACTGGCAATGACATCCATCAGATTGTCTTGAAAATACCCAGGGCTGCCTGTTCCCTACTGCCCAAGACTCAGAAGCCTGTTGTGCCCCATGTAAACCTCTCTGGTCTTTTGGGGTGGTTCTGGAAGTGGCTTGGACTCAGACGAGACTAAATGAGAAAGTCGCTGAGTTTATGTTGCYGCTCCTTGTTTGTGCCTGACGCAAGCACTTTGTGGCCTCTTGGATGAAAACTGTGCTTATCAAGAAAGGATRTGGGAATTGGGATTATTCACCTGGAGAGGAGAACCCTTTGGGGTGACATAATTTTGTCCTTCCAGTACCTGAAGGGAACTGAGAGGGAACATGGAGAGGGACTTTGGACAGGGGCCTAGAGTGCCCAGGACAAGGCAGAATGCCCTCATTCACACTGATAGAGCCAGGGTTAGATGRGATATYGGGAAGAAATTCTTCCCTGTGAGGATGGTGGGTCACTGGCACAGGGTGCCCAGAGATGTTGTGGCTGCCTCATTCCTGGAAGTGTCCAAAGCCAGGTTGGATGGGGCTTGGAGCAATTTGGGACAGTGGANCTGGCACAGGGTGCCCAGAGATGTTGTGGCTGCCTCATTCCTGGAAGTGTCCAAAGCCAGGTTGGATGGGGCTTGGAGCAATTTGGGACAGTGGAAAGTGTCCCTRTCCCTGGCACGGGAGTTAGAACCAGATGACCTGTAGCAGTTTGAAGCCATTTGCTCTTCTCCTGTCAYTCCAGCCCCTTGTTCAAAGCCCCTCTCCATCYTTCTCGTTGACCCCTTCAAGTACTGGAAGGCCACAATCAGGTGCAGGGTGCCTTGAGCATGCTGGKTCAGGAGCAGGGAGATAAGGCTCCCAATCACACAGACAATGTGAAGGGTCTGGGGAGAGTCCTGGACAACGAGCYCTGAGAGATGCAGCTTCTGAGAGCTGCATTTGTGCGTTGATCCAGGAGATACAATMGCAGAGTACAAACTCAACCTGTTTCAGCACAGGACAGGCTCTGGGCAGACAGGAACAGCCCCAGTTTGCCCAGTGTTGAGCCAGTTTACTCCTGCTCTGCAGCCAAGAGCCTGGAGGGATGGAGCTGAGCCCTGGATCTCGCTGCAGTGCCGCCTGAGGGGCTGCTCAGGATTCCATGGAGGCTTGGCCACGGCTCACTGCTCAGCCCTGCTGGCATTGAAACCAGGAAAACCATTCTACAGCCTTGCAAGACTCCTGTTGGAACACGGGGGACCCTGAAAATAATTTCCTTAAACACCTTCTTGTTTCAACCTGAAAAAATGTGGGGGATTTATTTTGAAATGTCATCTTTTGTTTTGTCCTCGGGGTCACTTGCAGACTCAAATGATACAACTTGCATTAGCCAGGCACCTTGTGCTCATCTGATCCCAAATTGTCCTCTACCTCATTTCTCCCCAGTGCCTGAGGGGAGACTACAGATAAGATGGAGAGAGACTATTTACAAGGGATGGAGTGACAGGACAAGGGGGAAAGGCTTCAGAGTCACAGMGGGCAGGGAGAGATGRYATACTGGGAGAAACTGTTCCCTGTGAGGGTGGGCAGGCCCTGGCACAGGGTGCMCWGAGAAGCTGTGGCTGCCCCTGGATCCCTGGAAGTGTCCAAGGMCAGGCTGGACAYTGGGGCTTGGAGCACCCTGGGACAGTGGAAGGTGTCCCTGCCCATGGCAGGGGGGTTAGAATGAGATGATCTTCAATGTCATTGGGACAKTGGGACAACTCAAACCAGTCTGGGATTTYATGTGCCAACTCYGGTGCCATGGGCACATCCCAGGTACAGAACCCACCTGGTGCYTGACCCTGCTGCCTCCCAGGCAGTGGGTGCTGCCAGGGGCTTTGGGTAACAGARGGAATCTGAGGTAGGTCCTTTTGGGACACTTTGGACTGACCCTTGGTATTGGACACCAGAGCTGCCAAACCCTGGAAACCCCAGTGTGGCAAGCAGGCGGCAAGCAGGAGGTTCTGGTTTGCGACTCACTCTTACCTTCCTCTCTTGCCCAGGGAGGTGGTGGAGGCACCATCTCTGAGGGTGTTCCAGAGCCATGTGGATGTGGTACTGGGTGACATATTYAGTGCTTTAGGGGTTACCATGGTAGTGCAGGGCTGACAGTTGGATTYGATGGTCCTAAAGGTTTCTTCCAACCGTCATGATTCTATTCTATAATTGCAAAATGGGTATGCTTCCTATKCATTTATTTAATCCTTACTGGCATATTTTTGACCCCTCTCTTTCCAATGTTAACTTCAGCTTGTAAATTATGAAGAATAATAGTGGGTGAGTGATAATGACCCTAATAAAAATAAGTTTYCTTTATTTCTTTCCGATTTTCCATTCATTTGGTTTGTGTTTCAGCAACTGGACTTGATGACCTTAAAGGTCTCTTCCAACACTGACAATTCTATGATACTATGTGGGAAATCCAAGCCTACATGCATTGTTCCTGCTGAAACTCTTCCTGTCACAAAAGAATAAGGTCACTGCCACTTTTGCACTGAGGGACTGAGCCAGCAGTGTGTCCTTGTGGTCAAGGAGGCCAACACAATCCTGAGGTGCATCACGAAGAGCATTCCCAGCAGTCAGGGAGGTGATCCTATCCCTCTCCTCAGCCCTAGTGAGGCACATCAGGGATGCTGTGTCCAGGTCTGGGCTCCCCAGGACCAGAGAGATGTGGAGCTCCTGGAGCAGGTCTCCTGCGGAGGCTGCGGAAATGAGGAAGGGCCTGGASMAYCTCTCTCACCAAGGGARGTYKRAGGGAGCTGGGCCTGTTCAGCCTCGAGAGGAGACCCAGCTGAGAGGGGACCTCGTCCCTGTCTGTCCCTGTCTGCAGGGAGGGCTCAGAGCAAGGACCAGGCTCTGCTCCCTGGGGCCCAGCAATGGGACAAGAGGCCACAGGCAGGAACCAATGTGCAGGAAGTTCCACCTGAACGTAAGGAAGAATTTCTTTCCTGTGCAGTGACCAAGCACTGGAACAGAGACCAGAGAG